CAATCACACCAGAGTGCAAAAGCAATACGCAATCACACTACAGCAAACACGTCATGGTCGTACAAGCGACATGGACGAAAATAGCCGTTCTTGCATTGAAAAATATCGTCAACTCCTAGGAAATGCCCGGTGGTCAACACTTTGAAGCGCAAGCATTCGCGGGAGGGCGACCGCCTGTTCAATCGGCAATGCCAAAAAAACAGCCGACCGCTCCTACCGCACTTGTGTCCAATCGGACAAAAAAGAGGTCCTGATCGTCTGTCTTACTGTTTTTATCCCAAGCGACAATGATATCCCGTACCCAATTTTTTTAAGCAGTCTACGTCCAACTATTTTCCAAACGTCACCCCTTCCCCGACCGGTCCCAGTCCTGTCCTGTCCCATTACCCACGCCCTTCCATTCCAAAACAGAAAAATCTTAGTTCCCCGCTAAAGGGTATTCCCTGGTCCCAACAAACCGACAGCCAAATCCTTGCTACCCTTAGTACCTGACAGAAACAAACAAAGTAACACGAAAGACTTTCGTTCATTGCTCCTAGTCCATTATCCTACTGTCTGTCATCAACACTGCGAACATCTTCCACGCCTCATTCTTGTCCCTTGTGAAATTCCTGAGGCCCCGGCCAAACCAGTCATCCGGGTAATTGCATTTCCGCAATTCCATCCTCAGGAGGATCAGGGTCTCAAGGGCTTCCATGCTGTCACTGGAATTCTGGTAGACCCGATGCAGCGCACTTATTATAGCCGCCATCTTCGCCTGCTTACTCGTCCAGGAGTTGAAGTCCTGGAACGTCCGGAAAGGCAACTGCACCTTATTCCGCAATTCCGCCTCGTTCTTCATCCCTTGCACTGTCCCAATGAAAGGGATCTCCTCCCTGATTGTCAGTCTACATCCCAGGAACATCCATTGGTTCTCCTCCTCATTAGTGCGTTTCAAAGTCAACGCCGCATCATAACATCTCTCAAACCTTCTGATTACCTCCCTAACCTTCTCTTTGGAACCAGCTCTTCGTGGATTATATGCTACAAACATTGACGCATCATCCACGAATCTCAGCCCACCAACCATCCTCTTCTGACTACCAAGTGTCAGCAAGAAATCCCATTCAGCCTTCGCACACATGAGGCATGCCAGTGGGGGGCTTGAGCTCTTCCCCATCGGTATTCCCACAATCTGCCTGAGCAACACTCCACATGCCCTCGTGAAACAAAACTGCAACTCAAACGAAACAAATTCCACCAAATATCTAAATGAAATTTTGACAAGGCCCTCGTTCACGTCGCTCTTACTCAACTTAACACCCCGCCCGGCCTTCTTTACAAAAATTTCATCAAAGCCTTTTTGAGAAAAGTACCATACACACCACTCGACAACCCTCATGATCGTCTCGTGCGGAAGCTTGTTGAACATATCTTTTATGTCATACGAAGCTCCCAGCACGAATACATCAGTACTAGTCTTTGCTAGTCTATCATTCATTCTACTCAATTTTTCCTTCATCATGGATACTGCTCGAAGGTTAAAATGGCCCGTCTCTGGCAATGCGAACAGTAAACCGTTAACAGTTTGTGAAAACTTCTTGCAAGCTCTAACAGATGGTTCGTCAAAGGTAGGGCAGATCAGACGGAATTTCTCTTTATCCTTATGCTTGTCTAGTGCATATGCGTGCCCCACCTTTCCTCCCTCATTCCATTTTCCATGTTCCTCAAGCCGTCTCCGTTTATACTCTTCGCCAGCCTTCCTCAGCACAAGTCTCTCCTCCTCTGCACACTCGAGGTATCCTTCATTCTTTAGAAAGGTAGCCGCCATCCCTTTTGCATACATCACAGGACACATCACCAGTGTGTCACCCGGGTTTCTATCCAAAGGGGACAGCACCAAACCTTGCAGTTTCTCTCTCACCACCACCACTTCTTCTACAGACGCTTCCCTCCCTCCGTCCGCCTCTTTTGCGAAGCATTGTTCTATTTATGCCATCTTAACATCCACCCGTCCTCCTTTAATCCCCGATTTTCCCTCAAATATCCTAAACGCCCCCTCTATTTCTTCTTTCAGCGTCTCCCTCCTCACACGGTTCTCGTGCCTCGGAACGTTCTTAGCATTCTTCACTATCGCAGGGACACCCTCAAGATCACCGATTCGGAAATGCACGTGCCCATCCTTTCTTGGATAGGGTATGCCAACACATATGCAGCTGGTCACACGCAATGGCGCAAAGCGCCGGTGGTTGTGGATCAGTTCCCCAACGTTAGGACATCTCGTCCACACCACACGTGTCCTCCGCTTTATCATTTCCTTCAGGGCGCACTCTATCTTGAGTCTCCCAATCTTCTTCCTCACTATCCTGGTTACTTCACTCTTCCTTATTCGATCATCGAATTTCATCTTCACAATCACCCTCCGCCTCACTGTGCACTCCTAATCATCTGGGATATCATACATCGAGCCTTTGTTCTACTTCGCTTCGTCGCAAACGACTTGATGGCACTATAATACTTCAGCATCTCCCCAAGGGGCATACCCTTCAACTTCGCCCTCAGCTTCGGATTCTTGAACATCCTAACCATCTGATCCCGCCGACGCAAGACCGCTGGAGAGGCCTCATCAATTCTTCTCAACACGATCGTCCTCCCTTCTTCAAAGAGTCTCGTACACTTTCGTAGAGGCCTCGTCCCCTTCCCACATCTGACCCTCGTCTCACCAAACAACCTTCGTACCAACCTCCACCCATCCGCCCACACACTACCTCCTCCAGATTCTAGATGCGTATTCTCTTTCACTCCGTCTTCCCGTAACTCCCGAAGTAAATTCACAATGCCTACCGTGCCATCGCGATCTCCTTTCTTCCTCAATTCAACTATCTTCCCGACTCCACGTCCCTTCCTATTTGACGGTCGCCCTCCCTTCGTAGTAATTTTCTTCTTCTGTCTCTCCTTTCTCCCCGGTCTCCTCCTCCCCTTTCTTCCCGATCTCTTTACCCCGGAACCTCGAGAGTTCAAGCGAGGTGACAAAATTATGATCAAAGTCTTTTCCACGGCCTCGAGTTCCCTCCTCTTCTTACTGAAAAAAAACGGTATTGCGACGTATTTCTGAGCTCCCACTTTCCCAAACCAGTTGTACAGTGCTCGCCTCCTTTTACCACCGCTCCCCTTTCCAAGGCAAGAATGTTCACGCCATCTCGCCCACAATTGCCTCTCAGTCATCCCAATATACACTGGTCTATGCCATGGTGATATCAAGATATACACACAACCTTCCGGTTTGCTCAAATCTAGGAACCCTTTCTCTAGTTCCGTTTCCAAGTACCTTATGAACTTCTGCCCCCATCTCACTTCTCCTTCCAGTATTAACTTGATCGTGACTAATCGGAAAAGCCTATCATCATCTTTGTTCTTTTCACCATCCCCCCGTCTGATATCCTTGGCTAACTCCCACAATTTCTCCCTTCTCCGTCGTCTACATTCCTCTTCTCCCGATTCACTCTCCTCTTCTGATTCACTTTCCTCCTCCTCCGGTTTTGCTTCCGCAAATTTCCCTTCCGTCCCTTTAGTCTTCACACTTCGTGTCATGATCCTTGGTGTTGTCGGTAAAGGAATGTAAGCCACATCATACACAATCGCCACACGTCGAATCACCAATCGTTTAATCGCCATTTCGCGATTTCTGTAACATACCTTCTCCCTTCGGCATACCTCCTTCAATTCCTCGATCGTAAGTTCATCGAAAAAATCACGAACTTCCGCCTCGTATTTCTCTTTTCTGCCTGGTTCGCACGAGGCCGAGATATGCTTCAAAGTCAAGTCAATCTTCCTCTGCACTTCTGACGACTGTGGTTCCTCGTCCGTAGTACTTCGTAGTTCTTCGATCTTCTTTCTTGCCTCCTCCGATAGTTTAATATTTGTCCTCTTCTCTGGCGTCATCAAAGGTGGACTATTCCCGACCGGTGTCTCCGGTCCTCGCTTCGCTTCTCCACTTTCTCATTAATCTTCAACTTTGCCGCTTGCCTCCGGAGTAGCTGGAGCTCCTCATCAACTTCCAGTTCCTCCTGTCCCGCTATCATTCTCCTTAGCCTTTCTTTTTCTTCTTCCAACGTTTCCGCGTATTCATTTGTCCTGTACACGCCTTTCCCTTTCCAGCCACTCTTGCCCCGCCGCCCCTCTTCTTCCATTTTTATCTTCGCGCTGATTAAACTCAACAGTCTCGCATCCCGTTCCTCCTCGTACTGCTAGCTTTCTCTGAACTTCTCGGCCCGCTTCCTTTCTTTCTCCATCCTTACCTCTTCTTCCACCCTCCTCCGTTCCTCGGCTGCCTCCCTTTCAAGCCTCTCCCGCCTTTCCTGCGCCATAGCAATGAGGTACTCTCTCATTAACATACTTGTGTCATCTATCTCGACGCGCTCACTCCCACTATCCGCTGATCGACTCCTCCTCGCACTACTCTTTGGTTCGTTCGATCTCCCCATCCTCACTCCACTTGGCCCATATGTCGATGGCACGAAGGTTCGCCCGAGCGCCTTCGATTGGCAAAACTCGCCACAATCCCTCGCAAAATGCCCCATCTCACCGCACTTGTAGCACTTCCGTCCTTCTACCGGTGGCCTCGAAGTCCCTTCGTCGGACTTCTTCTGCGAAGATCCGTCACACATTTTCTCGACTCTCCACGTAACTCAGACTCCTGCACCACTCGTCTCCTCTGCCTCGACCCTCAACGGTCTCTCTTAGTCCTCCTTCCAAAACGTCTTTCAACCTTCCGTAGCAAAGCAGCCACCTAGCATAGGTATAATCGCCTAGCAGGTTGCAACCCTTGATGATGGAATAGGAAAGAGTGCAAGAGCAATACGCAATCACACCAGCGTGCAAAAGCAATACGCAATCACACTACAACAAACACGTCATGGTCGTACAAGCGACATGGACGAAAATAGTCGTTCTTGCATTGAAAAATATCGTCAACTCCTAGGAAATGCCCGGTGGTCAACACTTTGAAGCGCAAGCATTCGCGGGAGGGCGACCGCTTGTTCAATCGGCAATGCCAAAAAAATAGTCGACCGCTCCTACCGCACTTGTGTCCAATCGGACAAAAAAGAGGTCCTGATCGTCCGTCTTACTGTTTTTATCCCAAGCAACAATGATATCCCGTACCCAACATTTTTAAGCAATCTACGTCCAACTATTTTCCAAACGTCACCACTTCCCCGACCAGTCCTAGTCCTGTCCTGTCCCATTACCCACGCCCTTCCATTCCAAAACAGAAAAATCTTAGTTCCCCGCTAAAGGGTATTCCCTGGTCCCAACAAAACAGAAAAATCTTAGTTCCCCTTCTATGATGTAACCTAGACGACTATAAATTTTGATGTCATTCTGCTAAGCCAAAAAAACATTAAAAATCGTCAAAGATGGGGGTGTCAGAACGTGCTCGCCCTTTCACTATTTTGTTTTTTTTCACTTTTAACTTTTTGTTTTCACTTTATTTCGGGGCCTAAAACATTTTATTATTTTTTGAAAATGTTTTAATGAGTTATTGATTATGTCAACTACATATCTGTAAATTTTCAGGGCATTTGTCAATGCCAAACAATAATTAAAAATCGGCAAAGATGGCGGTGTCGAAAAGGTGCTGGCACACTCACTCATTTTAATTCTCTTCTTATTTTTTCTTATTTTTATCATAGTGTTTATTTTCTGTATTTAAATTTGTAATTCAAATTTAGTAAAGAATTTGGATACAGTGCCCAGGCAAATGTTGTTTAGTTTATTTTTCTCCATAACATATAGTTTGTTTGGAATTTTTTGAAAACTTATTTTTTTTTTTTTTTTTTTTTTTTTTAAGAGTCCTCGTTCGGCCTGAACGGCCGAACGCCTTCCGAAGGGGTCCTGTACGTTCGGGCGTTCGGGTTTGGGCGTTCGGCCCGTCCCGAACGCCGGCAACCCTGTATACATGTATATATATCATATATATATATATCCTAACCCTTAAGCAGCATTGGCCGCGGGGGGAGGTCGATGGTCCGCTCCGCGCCGGACTTGGGAGTGAACTTTTGCTGCGAGCCGGCGGATGGAGGCGATCGAGGGCAGGGGGGCGGGCAGAGTGGCGCGCGTACCAAAATGTTCACAGCGCGCCAGAAAACGAGAGAGCGCGCCCAAGGGGCGGAGCGGCGGCGGGC